TATTGACTATTCTATTCATGAACACATAATGGATATGACATTATCTCAACAGTTTTGGTTGTTAGAACTCAAAGGATATAATCTCACACGCCAATTGTCATTACCTGTTGACCGACAACGTTCATTAACTGAGCAACGATCAGGTTTAGCTTCTTCAGCTCAAATCACTTTTGACGATGAAATATGTGCATCCTTTCTAAACTATGCATCATCACACCATCTCACACTCTTTCAACTTGGATTATCCATATTTTATGTCTTTCTATACAAATTCACTCATGGCGAGACTGATTTATGTATTTCTTCTATCAATGCTAATCGATATCGAAGTGAATTAGTAAATATGATCGGAATGTTTGTGTCAACACTACCATATTGTGTTGAACTTGATCCGCATTGGTCTTTTGATGAGGTAGTTAAATATGTACGAGAGAAATGCTTATCAATTCTTGAACATTCTCATTATCCACTTCAACATATTCTTAGTGATCTACATCTCACTCAATCGAATGTTTCGTTTCTTGAAACAATGCTTGATTTCATTACTATATCTGAAGATGATGATGATGGATTATGTTTGAATGGTGTTAATTTAGAAGAAGTATCATTAAATCTGTCATATGAACTGGCTAAGTTTGACTTCTCATTGACATTTGTATATAATCAATCATCAGATGATAATCATCTGTCTTGTTCTTTTATTTGTTCAAGTGATTTATTTGACGAGACAACAGTTGATAAAATAGGTCGAAGATTTCATCATATTTCACAGCAACTCTTTTCATCAAAATCAAGTACAAATTATATTGATTTATGCTGCACATCTATATCGAAAGTTGATCTTATTCTACCAGAAGAAGTTGAAGAAAGACAAGGAATAAGGTTTCAAAGGTTGGAAACTATTATTAATGAGGGTACGGTTAGTTCTTAATTATTTTGATGCATATAGCACCTATATCAGTCAGGACGATTGACGTGAAGAGCTGAGTGAGACAAGCTACGTATTGATATATTATTCTGCTTGTTGTAAGTTTCTTTCTTTTTCACTGAACTGAAAAGCTACACACGACTTTTATGATTGATATTGCTGGAATATCGTATATGTACCATCATTTTGAGAAATCATTCAATTTCTAGTTTTTATTACATTTTCTTATAGTGTATGTAATCTAATCCTCTTTTATTTATACGTAGAGGTAAACTCACGTGAAAAACTAGTTCAATTCCAGATCTTGCGTTGCCTTCTCGACTTTTTGTACAATATTTTTCTTTCCAAAATACAAAACTATAACCTGAAAACATGATTTATTTTACATGGACTACAGACACGGATATATACTACTGACGAGAACCCCGAAATGAGATAATATGATATAACTGAAAATCTTCTTTTGCTATAAAAATATTCTTCTATTGTTTGGAAACTACATTGATGAAAGCTTTTGATATATGTTCACAGTAATTTTTTACGAGTTTTAACATATATCCAGATGACTAGTATCTTTAAACTGTCTCTTGTTGACTCATACAACTACGAACAACATTGATTCTGTTCAACCAGACACTAGATAAACTGAATTGAGTATAGTATTGTGCAAGAACAATTGATTATCATGATTACTCACTCTAACTCACTAAACTTTAATATTTGTAGCACCAGCATCATTTGCACAATATCGAATATGGTCCAAAAATCAAAGAGATGTCGATACTGATCAGTCATCTTTGACGACCCATAATATGTCATTTTTTTATCGCCTCTACACAGGAGACATTTTATCCGTGAAACAACTTCGTCATGCTCTTCAACTCGTTGTAACCAAACATGGATCACTTCATACATCAATCATCTATGATTCTGACAACAATCAACTCATGCAGAGAGTTCTTACTCAACAAGATATCAACGATGATATGTTTACAATTACTGAAAGTAGTTATGAAACTGATGAACAACTCAATGCTATCATTGAAAACGAGAAATGTAATTCTCAACTTTTCGATCTCATTAAAGGTCTTGTGCTTCGATGTCGTATTATTTACTATAAACAAGTCTCTTCAAACAACATTCTTTCCGATAAAGATCTACTTATTTTCAATATTCATCACGCTTTCTTTGACTTTCCATCAATGAACATATTTCTTCATGATCTTAATCAAGCATATACAACAGGTCAGCTAGCGATTGATAATGATACTACTCTACGTTATATCGATTGTAAGTATATTCTATTGCTTATTCTATTTAAACTACTTCTTTCTTTTTTTTTAGATGCTCTCATTGAACAACAGATGTCAATGACTGGTGCAACTATGTTTTGGCTTGATGCTTTTCATGATTGTAAACTTGATCAGCCTTTACCATTACCATTTGATCGATATCGTCTTATGAACGAACATCGAACTAATCGAGCAACATCTATTTCTTTTGATTTTGGTCAAGATCTTTCCCATCATTTTCTTCTCTATGCATCATCAAACAATATCAAACATGAACATCTAGCACTTGCTACTTATTTTATCTTCTTATTCAAATTAACGAATGGTGAAAAAGATTTATGTATTGCAATGAATATCGACAATCGTTATAGAGATGAACTAAAATCTATAATTGGACTGTTTGAGAATATCATTCCATTACGATGTCAATTAGATCCTCACTGGTATTTTCAATATTTACTTGATTATGTTCGAGAGACAACAACGAAGAGTTCAAAATATTCGTATTTTCCCCTTCAACATATTCTCAATCAGCATTCAAATGTTTCAAAACCTGCATTTCTTGATTTGTCATTTGAATTTCTATCATCTATGACAAACAGCGACAATAAACTAACAATGATTGGTGATAGTCAACTTTCGTCTATACCTGTTACAATCAACATTAATGATTTCTCACTTATAATCCAGGAGGATCTCAATGTTAATCAACTCTCATGCACAATGAATGCATCACTTGATTTATTCAATGTAGAAACGATTGATAGCATATCTCAACGGTTTCATTCAATCTTGAGACAATTATTTACACCTGTTGATAATCAAATGAATAAGCCAATCTACGAAATATCATTAACATTACCAAATGAAAGATTACTCATGCAATCAATGA